TAGAATCTTCATGTTATCGTTGTTTCTTTTAAGTTTATGAGACTTTTCTTGCACATTTTTTTAAAAAAATTATTGTAATTCATTTTTCAACTTTTTTTTTCTTAAATTTCGGTAATGAGGCCAATACAGTTGCCCATCCCTGCTGTATACGATTTGATGTTTTCTGGTTTGATAAGATTTTTGTGCTAATCATCCATTTATTTCCTAAATATTGAAAAAAAAAAGAGTAAATAAATAAATAAAAAAGAAACAAAGCAATAAATAAAAAAATTCCAAAGTTCACACTTATCACATGTTATTATAATTGATATTAAATTAAATAGCAAACTGCACTACTATTAAACATTATTATTTTCATTATTTTTATGTCCGTATGCGACAGAACTTGTATACGAGTTGGTATTGAATTATTTGAGAAACAAAAAAAAAAAAACAAAACTTGTTCCATTTTTAAGTTATTTAAGCTATGTACAAGTGATCTTCTCATCTACATGTGCGTATATGTGCAAGCAATTAGGTATAACGGAATAATGAAACATCAAAGTACAGCCCAGCAAAGAGAAGGGTCTGTCTAGAACTCGTTCTCAAACAAGGAATGCATTAATCAAAAATGCGATGCAATCATTAAACCAGCTCAACCGCAATACCGTATGTCCGCTTTTATTAAGAATTTCGAATTTGGAAAAGAATGTATTTTATTGGCTTGGAACGAATCCTTTGTCACCTATCGCGTGACAAAATTTTCAACTTTTATTTTATAATATTATGAAAGCGTTTTCCAGTTCGCCATAACCTTTGAAGGCAACGAAAATCTCCTAGAAAAGAACACTCAGGCATATACATAATTCCCACGGTCTTATCAAATTTAGGTCAAGCGAACAAAAAAATTTGACGATTTTATTATGCTGAACAAAAATGTAGATAGCTTTGAATCCCCGAGCAATATGTCAAGGCTTTGCAAAGCAGCCTTAGAAAATTGACCAAGGACGATTTCCCTTAGATTCAAATATGACTTCTACCTCAAGCGGGAAATGATTTTTATTATATAGCCGATCTGCATTTTTAACCGAAGAATATCTTACATGTCTTTACAGTTTTCCTTATGTATTACCATAAACGGCAAACACTGGATGCCATTAAGGCAATAGACACGAATATATAATTCCTAGCATTGTGAAGAATATTTTCTCAGCCGTTTTTTTTGTTATTCTAGATATTGCAAAGGGTACAAGTGAATTAGTATATTTCCACAGTGCTATAGAGTAGACAAAAAAAGTGCAACAAAAAACATTTTACCTTGACAGTGAACCTTAACTCTACAAAACTGCTCACAGGCAATTGGCGTAAGTGAAGAAAAGATACTTGAAGCAGATGATTGAAGACAAGTCACAGTTAAAACGCCTAGACATGTATTTACAGTAAATTCCTTCTGAGAGTGCAATTAAGTTTGATGAAAAGTTCTGTTGTTTAAAATGCCTAACGGCATCCAAATATTTTCTACTTTAGTCACCTGACTGAGAAAAACTAAAAAATTAACCCTAAAGTTTTTTAAGACAGTTTCATCCTTCTCGCCTTGCTTATAGGATCCTTATTGAGGTTCATTCAACTTGAGCAGTATAAATAAATACAAAATTAGCAGCAAACCTTTTTATGGTTAGCACCAGGCTAATACTGTTTTCTCTTATGACTAGGGACCGACCACAATTTCAAAATCTTTCTTCAAGCGGATATATCTCATTGAGCAATAGATCTCTTAGTGTGTATATAACGTATTTATACCAGTAAGTGAACATTTTTATTATATATTCATCGAGACGTTCGATGTGTAAAAAGGTTAATTGCATTTTGAATGTGTTAGTAAAAACAAAGTATGCCTTGTTGAGTAAAAATTGAATAATGGATAGCAAATTTTCGGAAAGCCGTGCCTCGAAAAGACTGCTGCAAACGAAGTCCTCACAGACGCTTCTAGGTTTGATATGACATTTCCTGTCAAAGGCTTTTCTTAACTTCGACGAATATTTCAAGATTAGTGATCATAGTTTCAACAACTTGATCAAAGATATAGTCTTCATCAGCAGCTTCTTCAAGGCATCAGAAAAAAATTGTTAAAGAGGTTTTACTTGATATTCATTTGATTTTGCTACTATAGAGCCTGAACAGTAACATATTTAACCTTTTCAAAGGTAATATAGATATTTGAAGAAGACAATACACAGCAATACAGTGAACATATTATTACACCAAGTAAAATGTTTCCAATCTTCGAAAACTCGTGTCCGCAAAGTCCAAACCTATGGACATATTGAAAATATCTGAAGAAAGTAACATACATACATTCATGGGAATGACTAGATTAACCATCTAGCTTATCTTTTCTGAAAATCAGAGCCGATAGTTTGAGTTGCTAGTACTTGTCCTACTTGAGTCCTGCAATACATTTCTTTAATCCAAATAAATTATGCTAATAATAACAACAATGAAAGCATAATAGAAACAAATTTAAAGCAGTTTTAATATTTGCTTGCAATCTAATGTCATTTTTCCATTTTACCTTATGCAAGGAGAAAAGATAAATTTGAAATCATGTTTAGCGTACATTGAACGCCATATTTTCAACGAACACTTAAACTTACATCGAGTCAGTTTCTTTCAAGTTAATAAATATTGCATATAAATTATAAAGTCTTCGTATCTAACGTATTCCCTGGAATTGATATTAAAATCCAAAACTTCTCCCCCAGCCCCTAATAAATGATCAAAGTTCGATTTCTCCACAAAAAAAAAGAATTAAAAATTAAAACCACAACGACAACCTTCTAACAATATAATCAATGAATTAATTAATTTATAAATATACAAAGAAATGAACAACAATGTTATCAGCAATCGAAAGTTTAATGTTTTTAACATTGCGCTCTCACAAAACTAGTAAGAACTACGAAACAAAGGGAGAGAGAAATTGTAATGAGCACAATGAGGAAACTGATAGAGCAGTGCATTGGCGTAATTGCCTCCACATTTAAGCTCTAAAGGTCGATTTACTTACACAATATACTGTATCGTATTTGTACTTTTTCGTTCGTTTGTTATATAAAAAAAAAAACCAAAAAATTCTTTGCACTAATTTTTATCTTTAATATATCAGAGAGAAGGCTACAAAGCTGAACGATAGGTCTTTGCTAAGTCCAGTCTCAAATGAAAACATAAAAATGAAGTTATGACATGTAAACAGTGAGACTTCGAATCTTTGAAAAAACTTAAAATCGATAATTTGTAAATGGACGATCGTCAAACGTTCCCCATTTTCAAAGATACTTAGGAAGCAAGGTTGCTAATCGCAGCGTTACTGAAACTTACCTTAAAGATGCCCAACGTTTTTTGTTGAAAAAGTTTCATGAAGACTAGTGTATGCTAATAAGCAACTTAGGAGCGTGTAGAAGAAAGACGAGGGAAGAAGAGTAGACCTGTCATAACATTGCTGTCATTTTTTTAAAACTATTAACAGAGCTCGATTTGTGGTTTAAATTATAAAACTCGATATCGAATTTGCAATTTGCGTTGACCGTGCTGGTTAACGAGCATTCGAGGCCAAAGCTATCGCGCACCATCAACCCAAAATATAGTCGTATCGTTGCTGTCTTTCATGCCATGCGATAGCCCGGTAAGGGGAAGCATAAACAGACCGCGATAGGAAAAGATTACGTTCAAATTATGAATATTTGTTAATCCAGCTAGAGCCGCCACATCTGACTAATTTTCTTACTGAACATTTTAATCATTAACTAATAAAAACATTAATATGTCAATGTATTTTCAAAGGCCCTTTAGAAATCTCCTAAAAAGATACCATAAACAATTGCCTTAGTGTTGAAATATACTCAGCGGCTTTTCAACTTCGTCTAATAGCTTAAGAACTTAACTAAACTAACTGAGCTAAGCTTTTACTTTCTAGTTGGAGTGAGATGTCTTTAGAGTGATTTGCATTACGCTTTTTCAACTCAAAACCCAGGACCAACTAATTGTAATGCAGTCATCAGTTAAAATTCTTTAATCATCGCTTTAGGAGAAACTCAAATTTCGCTTTCAAAGAATATACTTCTGTCCCTTCATTTTCACTGCGCACCCAAAAAAGCAAGACACATGAAGTGCATCTTCTAAAATCAGATGTACTTTAAGAAAAGTTTACATAGCTTACCTCAAGATGGGATTCGAATTTCCGTTTTAGATTTTTTTATGAGAAGAGGTTCCCTTAGCACTTCCCATGCGCTGAAGGTTAGCTTGGGTTATTGTTTCTGGATGGCATTAAAATTTTTCTGAGTTATTCTCAAATGCAACCCATTAGCCGGTGACAAAGATATGACAATGCTAATCACAATTAAGTTCGAACCTTCTCCAATGTCTACTCTTTACTCCCTGCATTCCACTTCATATGCCGTATCTCACTGACAAAGAGAGAACTACAAAGTATATATAAATTGGTTGAAAGTATTCTATAAAACATAGGAATCTGCTCTTTGTGAAGCAATTGTTACGCTCATAGAATAAAGTGGATAACGTACGTAAAGTTGCTTTGATTTCGAAGGTGAATTTTATTAAAATGGGGTATGTTGCTGACGTCTTTTATATACGATCTGTGGAACTGATCCGAGGACATATTGAGTTCGCAAATTTTTTCTCTAGCTCTTCTTACACGTAGTCAGAGTTGCAACTGTTTCAACAGAGACCTGTTTTACGCTTAAACGAAAGTTTCACGATTAAACGCAAGATCCGCTGACAAACTAAGACTGAGGAGAAAAAAATTAAAAAGTCTCTCATATTTCATAAATATTCACCAAAAAAATATAAGAAAAAAATTATGTTAATTTTGTTAATTTTCTATAATCAACGCTTTAAATATACTCACACATCTCTTTCTCTTTGACATGACTAACTGAGTGCTGAAATTTTGCTTTAGATTGATATGAGGGCAGCAGCAAAGCGATTATTCTTTCTTTCTTTCTTTCTTTTTCTGTTATTGTTTTATTTAAGTTCTAAAGCCGCAGCGAGACGGTATGGTTTGTTAAATTCATTTTACTCTTGAACAGTTTGAATAGGAATTAGTTGCGATCGTATTGTGAACGCGGGTAGTTATATAGTCTTTTTTTTTGAATTTAACGCTTTCTGGTGTAAAAGGGTGACTAATTTACATGGAGTAAAAAAAATAAATAAATAAATAAAAGTGTACAAATTTTTACTTAACTGCAGCGAAAAAGAAAACAAAGTTTTATAAAAATATTTCATTAAAAACATATTTTCCATTGGAAAATTTTTGTTGTTTCTTCGGTTTCGTATTCTTATGTGGCTGTGAATTTGAATTGATTGAAGAAAAATATCAAAATGGTAGAAAACGATAATAAGAATCTTTTAAACGATAACAGGCATGGAAATGCAAAAATACAAATCGTACCCGTTCAAACCAAAACCCTTCAGCATTTACCGAAACGCCCGGCTGTCGATCTCGCTTTTCATGATTTGACTTACCGTGTCAGGGAAGGCGGTCGCAACAGTAAGTATTAATTAGCTTAGTCTATTAAAAAAAATCATCTTAGTTTTTTCTACTTTGAATTTTTTTTTTTTTTTTTTTATATGAATATTTTCTTATAGTTGACCCCTTTACGAAGCCTTAGAAGATTAGGGATATGTTTATTTTATCATTCCATATATTACGTGTCAACAGGCCTGGTTTGGATTGAAAATTTTTCTATTATCTTATTCTCCATTCCATTGTTAGTATAGTGTTTGAAAATTGACGCAAAATAGTAGCAAATGATTTCGAAATTATTAAAACTTAAAAGACCAAAATTCTCATAAAATTGCTAAGTTCGAGCAATTAGAGTCTGCATTATTAATTTGTAATGAAATTAATAATTCACATAAACAACCATATGTCATAATTTATAAATAAATCACAAATATAAACCTGGGGAGAACAAATATACTGCATACTTCAGAATAAATCGGCGGTATGCGAACACACGTCTTTACGAATCATAAATTGATTGATACAGATATGCTTAGACGATGTAAAGATCCTTCCATACATACGTATCCACTAACTTAGATCTCTTGGGTCGCATAAGATGCTTTAGTCAACATTTAGACCCGATACTTCATAAAATGTTATCAAATCTGAAGTTTCATAACATTATATCTCAATGTTCATTAGTGAAAGGTTGCTTAAACACGGGTAATTATTTTAGTTACAGACTATTGCCTATAATCGCGTCGACAATAGACGTCTAAGCGTTTCGACGCGCGAAGTCATGAAATATTCACTAATATTAACGACACAATTGGCTTAGTTATAATAAAAGAAATCCTCAATGCTTTTCATTTAACATTACATTAAACAATTTCCCTTAATTATGGACGATTATATGAATGAAATACGGAACAGTGAAACACGATGCAAATAAGATCCAATAGACGGCTCTAAGTAAATTTCTTCAGGAAGAAGAACTTACTTAGCTTGTCTTAAAAAAATGTACTAACTATATGGCAACTCTATATCATTTTAGCCACATCATAAGCAATATCGTGACAAGATTTTGATTAAAAATTGAAAAATAGAAGTTAAAAAACACTACGATTAAATACGCTACACCACCCTGTAGTTATTCATGTAGCGACTTTTCAGAATATGGCTGTATAGGGGAAGTGGTCGAAAAAGTAGCGTGATCCGAATCAACTTCAATAGCGTTCGTTCTTAGTGCAAAACACGGCAGTTTACTAAATATCCCAAGACAAGCTTTGATCTATTCTGAAAGTGATTCTGAAACGATCGACAGTCGAGTCTGTCGCAACTTCCTACGGGTGTTGCATACATCCCTTGCACCGCAAATTATGTACGACATAAAAAGCGTAGAAGTTAAAATCTTGCATTAATAATAAAATTTTGTCGAGAAAATCAACATCTGGATAGAACCACAGCAGCCAAAAAAATTATTTACAATCTGGCCATAGAAATTTTAATGACTTAGCCCAAGAAAACCTCGAAGGTCAAAGAGGAAATACGATATGACAATTACGAAACGTATTTTTAGCATGTATAAGCAGACATTTCAGACTAAAATGTACAGCCTTAGGGTATATATATCGAAATATTGCCTTCATAATCCACGCCCTAGGAAATAATGATATAATAAATGATCCGAACTAAGGAAGGATAAGCTACCTTATGAAATTTTGTCTTTGTTATAATATATATACCATAAATATTGAGTATACAAGATTCCAACAAAGATGAATAAAGTTTTAACGCCTCTTTCATTTCTTGTCCCCAATTTAATGATTTCTCTTTTATGGTAATTTCTGTTTTCCTACTATGCACTTGAGTTTATCGCGATACCTTTCTGCTTATTTTCTCTTCTTTTATATTTTTTTATATTTTTAAATTACTTTCCCTTGTTCTATTCACACAGAATGCTTTTTATTTTTTTCCTTTTTTTCTTTGTGTTTTGTTTTAGTAATTACACATTCTTTCCACCGGTATGTTGTTATATATTTTTTTGGTTTAACTGTGCAGGAATATGTTTAATAAATATGATAATAAACAAGTACTTTAACTTTACGTAGGTATATGCGAGAATGGTAGCGTAAGCCTTTAAAAAAAGACAAGCCGTAGAGGCCACTAAAATATATGCCTGGGACCGAGCAGATACGTAACTGTCCTAAGTGGCAAAATGCTGTTGCAAAATAATTTCACAAGAGACCCTTGGCTACGATGAAATAGAAAACCGTAGGTGACATGTGCCATAAATAGACATTTTTTTAACGTTTACAAAACACAAGAAAGCTTGGTTCCTATTACAAAGTCTCTTAATTGACGCGTATTTCTTGCTTCTTACCACTTGTGGTACAAAGGTATATTAAGTGCATGCAAATATATGCAACACCCAAAAGAACTGAAAAGGGCTACTTAATTATGTTGACCGATTTAGATTCACTTCTGCCCCCTTGTCCCTGTGATGTCTGTCCATATTTGCTTTCATTCCTCCTATAGGTAACAAGTTATGAGATACTTGACTGAAATTTGGGACATCGGCATGTCTTGACCATAACTTACAACTTTTAATACGAAAACCATAACATGTAGTTGGTATATATATCGTTACGTAAAGGATCTTGATAAAGTTATTTGATCAACTGAATTTTACATGCATAGAGAACTCAGCCGTTATGTAATGTTCCCATTAAACTTTTCAGTAACTCGTGATTCATATTTGAGCTTATTAGTCGAGAATTCCAGAAAAGTATAAACAGATGATTAATTCTGTGGAAAATTAAACGAGATTCTCAATATGCAATAAAAACATAATGCAATAAAAACATGAATAGTCATTTTGTAATGTATATATTTTGTGACAACGAAATATAATAATAATAATATAATAAAAGCCGGCCCTGTTCTGCTGTGGTCCAATCTGCAGCGAGTGTAAAAAGAGGAAAAACAAATCATTTAAGCATCTCCCTACAATAAAGTTCGGCTTTGCTTCCCTTTGGCGAAAATAAATTTACTAATATGGTTTTTGTACCGGGCATCATCTCAGACATGCATTGCGAATACGAAGTCTGCGCTTGCGGGTTCAAATTTCAAGTGTAGTAGACTTTACTTCGGTCGCAGCTTTAGTGAGTGCTTAGTCGGTAAAGGCGTAACAATTGCCGATTGATAGATCTTTTTGTCTTCCCCCACTCCCTTCTGACCATCATGGATCATACAGGGACCGTGGACATCTCCTGAGTTATTGATCCATATTAGAAAAACGAAGAAAAAATGCAAACCTCAAAATGAAGTTTGTGCTATAATTTTAATTCCTATTTCATTTTTAGTGGAATGCGATATTATGTGCAAATTTCGAAGTGATCGATGAAGAACAATAAAGAAATTGCAAAGAAATGGCATTACACACACTTGCTATTTCTCTTTTATTTTATGATTCTGCCAATTTTTGGACAACTTGCACAACACTGTGAATACGAGGTTTTCATGCACTTGCCAACATCAAACTTAGTGCATATTTGTTGTTATTTTCAAAGATCACAATTTTGTAACCGCCTCCCATTTATCCGCAAACATTTCATATTAAACTGTCGTATATTACTTGATCTATCGCAGACACTGTGACATTTATTACTAATCAACCTTCCTTTCAAAGTCCTTAAGCTTGCAGTATATTTTGATAAGAAATTGTTATTTATCAGAAATCCACAAGTGCTTTACAGCATTCTTGAACTACTTTCATCGATAAAGTTCTCATACGGATATGATTGATATTTAAATACATCCAAGATTCCAAAAAGACTGAATAACTGAAAGTAGAAATGAAGAAAAGAAAACAGAGAGAAAAAGGCTCGTTTCTAAATAACTACTACGTCGTCATTGTGCGCGGTGCTCGATTGCAATATGAAGCGTAAATACATTCATTTCATGTATCGATTTTATATTGTATCGCGGATATCGTGCAAGCTTCAGTTCGTATTTATATACGAGTGGATAACGCGTGTGAATCGAAGTGCGTGCGTTTCATTATATATTTTATGAAGTATACAGATACACTTGTAGATAGAAAGATCGAATGAAAAAGACGCCTTTAAATAAGGTCTTGAAAGTGTTCACTGTGTCATTCCAATCAAGTATATGGCAGTAAAAAATCCGACTTCAAGTTCCGTAAAGATATGCAAATATACTTCGACTAGGCGCGAAAAATAATCTCCGCGCTGTTCTTAATCACGGCTTTCATAAGAAAGCCAATATAAAACATATCATACCTGTGATTCGAAAAATTTGTTTCCAGTTCTTTAAATAAAATACTTGCAAGCATGTTTGTCGCTAGCGACAGATCGAATTCGTTTCGAACCAAACCATTTTAACGAGCATTAACAATCGGTTTTAATGGGAATTAACATACGGAAAATATGGAAAATTAGTTCGAGTCATGTCAGAGCATATCACTCTATAGTGATGTACTTAAAACGTTGACACAAAAGCATGCGGATTCCCATATGTACAGTTCAGAAAAGCCGGAATCAACTAATTTCGCAACCTTGTTGCTTGAACATTCACAGGAGAGACATTTACATTTCTTTATTATTAGAAGCGATAATGACTTAGTACAAAAGTCCAGCTTGGCTGTTGTGTTTTAACATTTGAAGATTATTAAAAAAAATAAAAAATAAAAATAATAATAATAATAATAAAAACAACAACAAAATAATTTCATTTTAAAACGGAAAATTACTCATTAGTAAAGTAAATGCGAAATTTTTGTAACATTTCGCGTATTTAAACATACACGCTTGGCGAGATTTGAAATATTATTATTGTTGTTATAATTTCTGCTTTTTTTTTTTAATTACACCATATACAATAGTAAATATATGACTGTAAAAATACAAGCTTATAATAATTAAAAATGAAATAAAAAAGAATAAGTAAAAATATTTTTGATTAACTATAAAAAAGCTAAACCTTCAAACATACGTAAACGTTTATACGTTTATACTCTA